GTTTGCACTAATCACGGACTCGGCCACTTGATCCAAAAAAAAAAAAAAACCCTAATCCACCACGCTAATCAAATCCATTGATAATTAATTACCCTTTAACCCAAAACGAACCAACCACCCGAAAAGTCGGTCCACGAACCAAAATGACGCCGTTACACCGTCGTTTGGGCTTCCGTGGTCCGGTTACAGTTTCCTCCTAATTGAGAAGACCTCCTTCTCCGCTCCGTTTAAGTAGAGAAAGAGATAAGTTGGACCGCTCCAAAGTCCAAAAATCAAAAAAAGAATTTTTATCCGCTGCGTGTGCCCACCAAAAAAACCCGAAATCGCTCCCCTTTTATTATCTTCCCTGGTCCAATAAGCCGCTCGCCCCAAGCCCAAAATCCCTCTCTCCTCTCTCGCTCCACCGTCGGTCTCGTCCCTCTCTCTCGCTCCGCCCGCGGGCCTCTGCAGCATAAACCCTAGATCCATCCACCGACAGAGATCGCCGGAGCTCGGCCTCCGACCTTCGCTCCTCCCCTCTTACCTTAACCGACATCGCCTCCTTTTCCTCCTCGTCGCTTCCTCTCTCACCGCTGGTAAATCCCTAACCCTAATTTTTTCTCCTTTTTCTCCCCGTCTTCTCGCGCTTCCCGTTTCTATGTGTTTGCTGTATCTTCAATTGATTGTTGTGGTGTCGTAGTTTCTTCGCGCTCGTTGAATTTCTTCGATGGGATTGTTGGGCAAATGCTCTCTGGGCCGGGAGGGAGGAGAACTGAGTGATTTTTGCGTTTTGCCATTCCCCGGGGAGTCGTGTGTTGGCTTCCTTCTTGGTTGTGGTTATCGGCCTTTTCAAATTGGTTTGGGGATTGGGATATTTTCGGGTTTTTTTTTTTGTTTTGTTGCCCTCGTCGTCCGCCTAGTTGCTTCTCCGGAGATTTGTTTTTGATTTCGGAGTCGGGAGGCGGGAGGGCGGTGGGTGATGAAGTTCCCGCTTTTGCCTTCTCGATGTTTATATGGTGTTGGGAGTTCTTCTATTCACCGAGCTGGGTCGATGGCTCGATTGCTAAAAACTCATCAGTTATGGGCCTACCTGATAGGACATGGCTCATAGACATAATATTCCGAAGGCCCATCTTTTGAGTAAACCGTGGTTACCTATTGTCCAGGTTTATTGCATAAAGTCTATTGCTTGCTGTTTGTAGTTGTTTTCTTCTACTCTGCTCTCCACTCTTATACAGGCCGAAGTAGTACCATCATGTACTATTCCTTCCTTGGATGATTGGATGCATCAGAAGATCACTTTTCCTGGGTTGTTTCATCATGTGTTCTACTAAGGTTGCTGAACTTTCTCTGGGTTTCTTTTTCTTCCTTTTATTGGTTGGCAGTGAAATTGGCTTTGGAGAAAAGATGGAAATCCCTGAAGAGAAGTATCAGCTGACACCCGTGGAGAATAATGCGAAGCCAGCAAGGCGAAGGAAGACAAAGTCCCATGTCTGGAAATACTTCACAGTCGAGAGCATCAGCCCTGAATGCAAAAGGGCATTCTGCAACACCTGCAGGAAGAGCTTCGCTTACAGCATGGTACAGGAGAATGGCGGCTCGAAGGTAGCCGGTACTAGCCACCTCAAGCGCCATCTCGAGAAGGGAACCTGTGGAGCTACCGCAGGGCTTGATAACAATAATGAAGGCGATGATCAGGCGACTCCTTATACGCCTTCAACCAGGACTCGGACCACTGCCAATAAGAATGCGTCTGGTGCAAGTACAGGGGTCAGCGAGTCGAGAAAGCGTCGCTACAGATCCCCCAGCTCTGCCTACATGGCGGTGTTCAATCCTGACGTCTGCCGCCAGGACATTGCTCGAATGATCATCATGCACGATTACCCTCTTGACATGGTCGAGCATCCTGGGTTTCAAAGTTTCGTCCAGAGCCTTCAGCCACAGTTTGGTGCAGTCAGCGTCGACACCATCCAAGGGGAATGCGTCTCATCTTACTTGAGTGAGAAACAAAAGGTTATGAGGTTGATCGATGCGATGCCAGGACGAGTCTGCCTTTCTCTTGACATGCGCATGTCGAGAAACAGCTTGGCTTATGTGTTCATAACAGGCCACTTCACCGACAGCAATTGGAAGACCCAGAAGTGGATTCTCAATGTTGTCCTAGAACCATATCCCGATTCACATAATGCTCTCAGCCATGCCGTTGCTTGTTGTCTCTCTGACTGGAGATTGGAAAGCAAGCTGCTTTCCCTCACATTGAACCATCCTGTGCCTGAAGCCGGGCTCGAGAATCTCAGGTCTCATCTCTGCGTCAAGAATCCACTCATCCTGAAGGGTCAGCTCTTGCTCGGGCAATGCATCTCACATACATTCACCGCCATGGTCAATGACATACTATCTGCAGGAGGTGACATCATTAAGAAGATCCGTGACAACATAAAGTACGTCACGACTTCGGAGAACCACGGGGAGAAGTTCTTGCATCTCAAAGAACAGCTTCAGGTCCCGAGCGAGGTACATTTGTTCCTTGACGACCAGAGTCAGTGGAATACGACTTATCAAATGCTGGTATCTGCTTCGGAACTACAAGAAGTCTTCTCTTGCTTAGACACTGTTATTCCTGAATACAAAGAAGCTCCAACCATGGAAGATTGGAAGCAGGTTGAGAGCATCTGCACGCACTTGAGGTCTCTCTTCGATGCAATGAACTTGCTCGCCTCTTCCCCTTGCCCTCCTGCAATCACACTATTCCAGGAGGGGTTTAGGATCCAGACTACGATCGCTTGTGCACCAACTGGTGATCCGTTCATTGGCAGCTTCATCAAATCGATGCAGGAGAAGATAGACAAGTACTGGAAGGAGTGTGGCTTAATTCTCGCGATTTCTGTAGTCATGGATCCTCGTTTCAAAATGAAGCTCGTCGAATTCAGCTTCTCCAAACTCTTCGGCGAGGAGTCTCCTCTCTACGTTAAGATGGTAGATGACGGGCTCCACGAGCTGTTCGAGGAATACGTAGCACTTCCTCTACCATCATCACCAGCTTATGGTGGCGATCATGGAAACATCGATCGAGCAGAGGACCACAACCAGGGAGGGAGTATTTCGGAATACGGGCTGGCAGATTTCGATATGTACATCATGGAGAACACCACCCAGCAGTTCAAGTCGGAGATAGACCAGTATCTGGACGAGAACCTCGAGGGTCGGGGCTCCAATTTGGACGTGCTGGAATGGTGGAAACAGAAGAGGTCAAAGTACCCAACGATGTCGAAGATGGCGAGGGATATCTTGAGCATTCCCGTGTCGACTACCTTGCCCGAATCGATGTTCAGTACCAAGCCAAGGGAACTGAGCCCGAATGCTAGGTCCGAGACTCTTGAGCCGTTTGTGTGTACTAAGGACTGGTTGCAGCATGGGTTGACTGAAGATTTCGGTGGATTAGAAAGTTTGGTGGTGTCGGATCTTTCGAACCCTGCCTTGAAAGTGGAGTTCTAGTACTAGGATATTGTTCTATGGTTTGTATCAAATTTTTACAGAGCCTGGTATTGGGTAGGAGGGTGTTTATTTGTTTTCATTTGGCATTTTGTTCTAGTTACTTTTAGTTGGAGGTTTATAGTTATTATTTCACGATCGGTTAGGCTAACTGTTTTCTTTTCGTTCTTTTGTACCATTGGAATCATGGAAAGAAGGAAGTTGATGGATTTGTTTGGACGATGTTGCCTGAATATGAATACTAGTTCATGCTCTACAGTCCCTAATGAAGCAAATACATGAAGACGCCGAATAAACGAAAACCCAGATTGGAGAACTGAAGTAGGATTCAAAGTGTTCTATCTGATATTTTGTGTTAGTTACATGAGGGGGAAGACTAATCAACACGCATTTGAGACTTGTTCAGTTACATAAGACTTTAGAGCATATGGGATAAGAAAAATGGTGCATGCGAACATGATCTTGAAAACGTGACGAAAGAAGCAGTCGAAAACTGACCAATTTCCTCTTGCTTGCTGTGATCTTTCCCTTTGATTGTTCTCCAGATGATACTGGTATAAGTTTCTCTACATTACATTCTCACCACCTCTCTGATTTCCAGTATCTTTCTACTTTTGCTCCAAAATCAGAAAGGGTCATCTGAACAATAATAGGCAGGATAGAGCGTAGCTTGTCATCGTGGAGTTGCAATTTATGATTAGCTTGTTGGAGATGGTCAGCATACTTCAGAAAGAAGATATTTCCCGGCTCTCATTTTTCAGTGCTGGATTTTCTCTTGATGTCTTTCTTCATTATAAGAACCTACATCGCAGATATAAAGAAATCAAGGATTGAATGTAATCATCCTTTCTTAAGAAAGAAACCCGCACATAAGCAGACAGAATTTGTCTGACAGATAGAAACCAAAGAACCACAGCAGAAACATATGAATTGCACCTTTCTGCGGTGTGCATGATGAATCTTGTTCTGCATGCAGTTTTGTACTATCCTCCTCACTTGCTCTGAAGTCTTGAAATGAACCCATAGCAGTAATAGATAATAGAGTTTGTGCTGGTCGGGAGGGAACTCTTGTGAACGCCGATACAGGTACTAGATTATAACATCCGTTAATATTTCAAGAACCTGAAAAGAATTATAATTGAAGTTAATTTTGATCCTTTTCACAGGTTTCAGTGAAAATTGTAAAGTGTTTCTACATTACTACAAAGCATGGACATGCCTGATAATTAGTTTGACAAGGTTGTGCAGTTTTTAGTGACATCTATAACTAGTGCCATTTTTGTTTTTGTGAAAACTCATGCCACTAGTTTCTTTTTTGGGGTAGAATCATGCCACTAGATCACATATCAGTCAGGCACTATATTAATTGATAACCTCAACTATTTTTGTCAATACTCACCTCATTACCCGACGTGATAGAGCACTCTTGGATACCATCCATTGCGTTTTCTTTTCCTAGCAAAGCTGTTCCAGAGACGGTTTTCTCCATGAACTGTGTGAAGCTGTCATTCATTGAATTTAACTTAACTTCAGTTCCTGATAGTTATCCAACTCTGTCCTGAGGGCTTAACCGACCCTCGGCCTTCCATTTCCTTTCTCACATTTACAGCATCGTCCCATCTTCCAGCCTCTGCGTATATACTATACAAAGCCACATAATGTCCTGCGCGTTCAGGTTCCAGTTGGATTAACTTTTCAGCAGCAAGCTTTCCAACCTCTACATTCTGCTGGTCAAGGCAGGCTGTTAGCAAGGCCCCCCAAACAGACTTATCAAGCTCCAGGGGCATTTGATGAATGAAATTGATTGCAGCTTCTAGCCTACCGACACGTGCTAGCATGTTGACAACACAGGAGTAATGTTCCATTCTGGGGACAAATCCATATTCTCCGATCATGCTCTCGAAGAGTTCAATGCCCTCTTCTACAAGGCCTGAATGATGACAGGCTGATAGCACCGAAGTAAATGTGAGAGCATCAGCATGAACTCCAACCCGCTTCATGTCCTGAAGAAGATTCAAAGCAGCCTGTGCAAGTCCATGCATGCCAAATCCTCTGATCATTGCGTTCCATGTTACTAAATCTCGGGTTTTCGCTGTTGTAAACACCGAGTATGCGGCCTCAATTTTCCCACAGATGGAATACACGTGTATGACTGAATTCCAAACTGCAACACTCGTATGGAAATAGTGTTTCGTGGCGTAGGCATGAATTTGCTTTCCATGCTTCAAATCACAAACTGGTAAAACAGTAGATATGGTTGTCTGATCATTCCGGATATCTGATCTCTGCATCTCACCAAAGCATTCGAGTGCTAAATCCCTCGACTCAGATTCTACAAAAGCCAGAATCATTGCGTTCCAGGCAACAACATCTGATCTGTCCATTAGTGCAAACACAGTTCTAGCATAATGAACCGAGTCACATCTAGCATACATTGTCATTAAAGCCGGACCAGCTGATCTGTAAAATCTCCCACCAGGTTGTTGAGTTTTGATTCCATACCCATGGATGGCCTTCCCACACATTAAAGCACGCAGATGGCGACACGAAACAAGGATAAGTGAAAGGGAATCTACATCAGGAAAAATCCCTCCTCCATTCACTATGTCTTTGAAAATTATCAAACATGTAGCATACTTGCCAGCTCGAGAATAACCAGATATTAGAGTGGTCCATGAAATGATATCAGGAGCTTCAATCTGTTAAAAAACTTTTGAAGCTTCATCACACAGCCCCATCCGAAAATAAGCATCCATCAACATGTTACATGTAATTACGTCAGGCTTAATACCCTCCAGTTTCAGACCACCGTGTTAAACTGTATAGGGCTTGGCCCATGTATATGTACATATGTATCCACGTAGTCGGCCCATCCCATGCATACGTAGACCTGATGAGTGCATGGATTAGGGTTTAGGTCATATGTAGGTCATATATATTCCTCTGTACTCTTGGTTGAAAGACTCAAGCTGAATAAGAGACCGCCATTCTCCGTGGACTAGTCGGTATTGCTCTCCGCAATACTGGAAACCACGTATATCGTCTTGTTCGTTTATTTTCAGCTCACAGGTTTTCTAACATGGTATCAGAGCTTACGGCTATGGATTCACAGAGGCTCTCTGTTCGATTGACCCACAAGAACTACGCTTTATGGGAATTCCAATTTCGCGTCTTCGTTGAAGGTCACGGTTTGCTTGGGATTCTTAACGGTACGATCGAGAAGCCGACCGCGCCGGCTACGGCTCAGGAGATTGCTCGCTGGGAGCAAAGTGACGCTCGGATTCGCTCTTGGTTGCTTGGTTGCGTGGATCCCATGATCGCCCTTGGGCTTCGGATGCACTCGACCGCCCATGGGATGTGGGCTCATCTTGCGTCCACTTATTCCACCGTCAATACCGCACGCCAATTTGAACTTCAAATTGAATTGGGGCGGCTGGAGCAAGGAAACAAGGATGTTGCATCCTACTTTAGTGCAGCACAGGAATTATGGATCGAGCAGGATTTGCTTACAGCATCACTGCGATCCAAGGAGGCCTCTGCCGAGGTCATGGAGGAACGGCAGCATACGCGTCTCTGCCAATTCTTGATGAAACTCCGCCCGGAGTTTGAAGCTGTACGTTCCACGCTGCTGAACAGGGATGACTTGAAGCTCGACGGGATCCTCGGTCTGCTGGTTCGCGAGGAGATTCGTCTCCGCACCCAGGCCCAGCTGGACATTCGCCCTGGCGAAGGTGAGACAGTGATAGCGGCGTCGGCCGTTTCTGATCAGCAGTCATCGGCTGCTTTTGCTGTCAAAAAACCCCAATTTCAGCGACGTGTGGCGGCGGCTGATGTGGAGTGCCATCACTGTCACGAGAAAGGCCATTATCAAAAGCATTGTCGTAAGAAAAACTTCTGTGTATACTGCAAGAGTCGTGGACATATTGTCACTGACTGCAAGTCTGCTCAGCGAGCTGCAGCGCGCGCTAATGACCCTCGTTTTACTTCAACGGATCGACCCGTGGGAGATCGGCCAGTCTATGCAACCCCGGCGGCTGTGGAAGTTGCCCCTCCTTCGGCGATCAATGCTGCCACAGTCGAGCAGCTTGTGAGTGCTGCTCTCCAACGTTCCCTTCCGAGCGCTATCAGTAGCGCATTTGCTGCTCTCCAGGTGACAGGTACGTCGTCGAAACCATGGTTGATTGACTCGGCCTGTTTTAACCACATGACCCAGGATGTTAGTTCCATTAAAAGTTTGGTTCCAGTACATGATATGGCTTTACATGTAGCAAATGGTCAGAAATTACAAGTAAATGGTGTTGGAATGGTTCATAATTCTCGTATGCTGCTGCCCAATACGTTGCATGTCCCTTCTTTGGTTCCCAATTTGGTTTCAGTGGGTCAGCTAACAGAGCAAGGTTTATCGGTTTTGTTTGGTCCTTCTGGTTGTGTTATACAGGACACGACGACGGGGAGGCAGATCGGGCGAGGGAGTAAGAAGGGAAGGGTCTTTCACCTCGAGGAGCTCTCGAGTACAGTATCACCATCGCCACCATCAGTTAGTTCACCCCTTGTCAGTAGTCCTTCTAGTAGTTCAGTCGGTAGGAACATAGTTCCGTTGGTGTCTAGTGTCTCGGCCTCTTTTCCGGTGTCTTCGTCTTTGTCAAGTCGATCTGATAATGTATGGGATTTGTGGCATGCTCGTCTGGGGCATCCAAACTCGGCACGTCTTTTGGCTATGTTTAAACAACAACTTCTCGGAAAAAATAAGATGGATGGTACTGCTTCACATTTATGCACAAGTTGTATTGAAGCAAAGATTACTAGTATTCCTTTTCCCTCCAGTACGACTGTGATTTCTGAACCATTTCATCTTATCCACACTGATTTATGGGGGCCGTCCCAAGTGGTTTCCCGTCATGGTTTCCGTTATTTTGCCTTGTTTGTCGATCATGCTACCCGGTTTACGTGGGTTTATTTTCTCCGCTTAAAATCAGACTTACTTGCGGTTGCTTCGGAATTTTTGAATATGATCCGAACTCAGTTTGACCGCCCCGTCAAGATTGTTCGGTCTGATCCCGGCGGGGAATTTAGCTCACACCCTCTTCGTGACCTTTACCGTTCCCTAGGCATTCTCAGTCAAAAATCCTGTCCTGGTGTTTCCCAGCAAAATGGTCTAGTTGAGAGAAAAAACAGACATGTTCTCGATCTTACTAGGGCTCTGTTGCTAGCTTCTCATGTCCCCGTGTCTTTTTGGCCTGAGGCTGTTGCCACGGCTGTTCGTCTCATAAATTATCAGATTACTCCTATTCTGGGTCATAAGAGTCCACATTTTGCTTTATATGCGTCTCATCCTGATTATTCGCGTCTTAGGGTGTTTGGGTGTACATGTTTTGTCCTCTTGTCCAAGAAAGAGCGTCCCAAATTGTCATCTAAAACTGTTCGTTGTGCCTTTCTGGGTTACAGTGATGTCCACAAAGGGTACCTTTGTTATGATCCTATTCTCAAACGTATTAGGATCACTTGTAATGTTGCCTTTTTTGAACAGTTCCCGTTTTTCTCTGAGTCATGTTCTCCATCCCTGTTGTTTTTGTCCTCTGAACCTACCTTACCTACATTCGAAGAAAATGATGGTGATATTGCGGGTGACCCTCCCCTAGATGATAATGCCTCGCTCGACTTGTCTCCCCCGGCCACGCCACACCTCTCGTCCACGGCTTCAACATCTTCCTCCTCTCCTGGTACACAAGACTCCTCAGGCGCATCGACTTCCACTACTTCCAGCTCCCCCACGTCGCCAGGTGCTTCCAGCTCCCCCACGTCGCCAGCTTCTTCCAGCCAGCTTACCGAGTCCCCAGCTACTCCTCCTATGCCTCGTCGATCAACGCGGTCAACGTTGGGCCAGCCACCGCTTCGGTTCCAGGACTATCAGGCATATGGGGTTGATTCCATCCCCATTCCTACACGCTATAGGCAAGCCCATGGTGATCCAGTATGGGATAACGCCATGGATGTGGAGATTGACGCTCTCCATGCCAACGGGACTTGGACTGTAGTTGATCGCCCGCCACCACCAGTGCCTGTCGTGGGGAGTAAGTGGGTGTACAACATTAAGTTTCTTCCGGACGGTTCGATTGAGAGGCATAAGGCCCGGGTGGTTGCCCAGGGGTTCACTCAGGAGCACGGTGTGGATTATGATGAGACTTTCGCTCCCGTCGCCAAGATGCCTACTGTTCGGACACTGTTGGCTGTTGCTGCAGTTCGTGATTGGCCTCTGTATCAGTTTGACGTGAAGAATGCTTTCCTTCATGGAGATTTGAAGGAAGTTGTGTATATGGAACCTCCTCCTGGGTATAAGTATGCTTCTCCCGGTCAGGTTTGTCTTCTTCATCGTTCTCTTTATGGGCTCAAACAGGCACCTCGTGCTTGGTTTGAGAAGTTTCATGCTACCATTCTGGCCTTGGGACTTCGTCAGAGTCTCAATGATCCGTCCCTCTTCACGAAGACCTCGGCAGCGGGTATTGTTGTTCTTCTACTGTATGTCGATGATATGGTGGTTACAGGAGATGATGTTGAGGGGATTCGGTCATTGAAGCATGGCATGCAAGCTGCGTTTAATTTGAAGGATTTGGGGGACCTTAGATACTTCTTGGGCCTAGAGATAACTCGTTCTTCTCAGGGGATCACTCTACATCAGACTAAGTACATCAAGGATCTTCTTTCCGAGCATCAGTTTGACTCCTGCACTCCAGTCCGCACTCCCATGGAGCTCAACCTGAAGCTTCATCGGGATTCAGGTCCTCTGTTGGCCGATGGCTCAGCTTACCGGAGCATGGTAGGTAGCTTGATTTACTTAGCTGCTACACGACCCGACATTTCTTATGCCGTGCAGATTGTCAGTCAATTCATGGCTGCCCCGCGCCAGGATCATCTTGCCGCCGTTCATCGCATACTTCGGTATCTGAAGGGGACTGTGGATGTTGGTCTGTTCTTCTCCTCTCAAGGTTCGCTAACTCTTCAGGCATTTTCAGACTCCGACTTTGCTGGGTGCGTGGACACTCGTCGTTCGACCTCTGGCTGGTGTGTTCGATTTGGTTCTTCTTTTATCTCTTGGAGGTGTAAGAAGCAGGATCGAGTTTCCAAGTCCTCGACTGAGGCAGAGTACAGGGCTATGTCCGAGGTTTCATCTGAGGTTATCTGGCTTCAGCGTCTGCTTTCTGATTTTGGTGTTTCCTGTTCATCTCCTGTGGATTTGTTCGTGGACAACACAAGTGCGATTCAAATTGCTGTTAACCCGGTCATGCATGAGAGGACCAAGCATATTGAGCTTCATATCCACTATGTTCGGGATTTGGTCCGTGATGGGGTCCTGCGCATGCATTATGTGGCGTCAGAGGATCAGATTGCCGACCTCCTCACTAAGTCTCTTCCCACCAGTCGCCATTGGTATCTATCGGGCAAATTGATGCTTCGTGACCGGCATCAATTTGGGGGAGGCTGTTAAACTGTATAGGGCTTGGCCCATGTATATGTACATATGTATCCACGTAGTCGGCCCATCCCATGCATACGTAGACCTGATGAGTGCATGGATTAGGGTTTAGGTCATATGTAGGTCATATATATTCCTCTGTACTCTTGGTTGAAAGACTCAAGCTGAATAAGAGACCGCCATTCTCCGTGGACTAGTCGGTATTGCTCTCCGCAATACTGGAAACCACGTATATCGTCTTGTTCGTTTATTTTCAGCTCACAGGTTTTCTAACACACCGAAGAGCTGCACAGCTGAATCTAGCAACTCATTACTAATGAACCCACAAATCATTGAATTCCAAGTAGATAAATCTCTTTCTGCCATCTCTTCAAAAACCAACCTCCCGCTCAACACATTTCCACACTTCGCATACATGTCGATCAAAGCATTGCAGACATGAAAGTGTTGCTCGTGGCCTGAAACAACCACACCTCCATGGACCCACATCCCTCCATCCAACCACGTCAACTGAGAGCAGGCTTTCAGAACTTTTGGGAACACTAAGTGATCCCCAGAGACTCCTTGAGACTTCATCAACCCATAGTTCTCCAAGCAGTCCTCGTACATCCCATTCCTTGAGAAGAACCCGAGAATAGCTGTCCAGGCAAACACATTAGGCTTCGGAAATACATCAAACAGCTTCCTCGAAGAATCAAGATCATCGCAATCAGCGTACATTTGAATCAGCTTAGTTACCACGAATTGGTTACCGCCAGACCCTAATGCAATGACATGCTGATGAATTTGTTGGCCTTGGTTCAGAGATTTGGAATTGCTGCACAGCTGAAGCAAGTGGATGAGTTTGGAAACAGATGGGAGCTCTCTCTCAACTCCAACAGAGACAAGATTGTTCGCCTTTCGCCATAAGCTCATTTTCGTTGAGTTTGTCTAGAAAAGTTGGATGCTTTGATAGGGATCAATCAAAGAAATCGAGCACCAGTTAACAGCTGCTATACTTCCCGAATCAACTAGACAATTTGGTGCTTCCATCTTAGCTTAATGGTCGCATGATTCTTTACCTTCATAGATGAATTGCAGGAAAGGCGATAACTTGACAATCATGTGAAGGAGATTACGAATGTTTTGTTTCCCTCAGCTTGTTGAGAAGGAACGCATAATGTTTGACAATATTCAGAGCTTGAAGTTAACCACCATTGAAGAGTATGGAGAACTTCACCGTGCGGATTTTTGGAGACCTCGCGTCCCTTAGTCCAGGCTAGGGCCGCAAATGAGTCGAGTCGAGCCGAGTTTTATCCCAATTTGAGCTCGGCTCGTTAATAAACGAGTTGAGTCGAGCTAGCTTGTTTAATAAAATCTTGACTTTTATTTGGTACTTCATTTTGTATATGCAGATACATATGATTTATTTAGTTAGCTAATCTCATATTATACTTTGTTGATATCATATATCATTTAGTTCTAAATTTTAACTACTCCAAATCATATTATTTCATAGTATCAAAGCATGATTTGATGGATTAGGATTGTTGGAAACTCTTATAGAGAAGTATGGATTTGATTATCGATGATGCAAATAGGTGCGAGCTTGTATTCGTCAGCTCGTGTCGTAAGGTGTTGGGTTAACTCCCGCAACGAGCGCAACTCTCGTGTTTAGTTGCATTGAGGAACCCTAAGCAGACTGTCGGTGATAAGCGAGAGGAAGGTGAGGTTTACAACATCATGCCCCTTATGCCATGGGCGACACACGTGCTACAATGGCCTGGACTAGGGCTGCAAATGAGCCGAGCTGTTCGCGAGCGGCTCGGCGTTTCGACTCGAGAAAAGCTCTATCAAAACTCGGCTCATTAATAAATGAGCCGAACATGAGCTAAGCTTTGTTCAGTTTGTGAAGCTCGCGAGCTAGCTCGACTCGGTGGCTTGTTGAGCTAAACTCGTGAGTTGGCTCGTTTAGAGCTCATAATATGTCTCAACATGTGGCTAGAGAGCCAACTCGATTACCGACTTATGGACGAATTAATATATATCTTATGATTTTAATTCATATAGTTGTTAAATTATATATCTCGCCATATATAAAGTTTAACACATTGAGTATGTGAGCAAATATATCTTATTTTCTATTTTAATTAGAAATGCATAGAGAAGCAACCCGAGAATCCATTATGACTCGATGCCTTCTTAGCCCCTGGACTAAACACTGTTTTTATTATTTCCTCATTGGTAACCAAAGCATAAAGGTCTTATTGACCTTCCTAAAAACTTTGTTAGTAAAGCCTTGCATAAGGTGAGAGAAAGAGACTGAAGCCCTAACCTTGAATAACACTTTGAAAAATTTAGCAAATTGACTCTTCCAACTAGCTTCAATTTCTACCCAATTGTCAGCCTTGTCCTTAAGTCCAATGGTTCTATTAGTATGTTTAACATAGATAGTGCTAGAGTGAATGAAGGAAGAATTTTGCCCACTTGTTTGCAGCCATTTCACTTTTGAACATTGACTCATTCTCGAGCGATAAATTAGACAATGACGGAAAAATAATCTCCTTAAGCATTTCCATGTTGATTTGAGCGTTGGATGGAAAATCCATGAGCAACATTTGAGATTTTGTCTTGCTTGTAGGTTTTCGATGCACATGTTGAGTTCACGCCTAAGCTACCTCATCTTGATTGTTGATTCCTCTTATCAGGGTTGGATTTTCATGTACAATCACACTATTCTCTCTACAACTAGAAGCCCTCCAAAAGTATGTCAGGTCAGGTACATGAATGAAGAGATTATTATTTTTAATTAGATTTTATCAAGACAATATAATCCGTAGTTAACTACGAAAAACACTGTGAAAATGTAAGACAATAGGATATGTTTGGAATATTGGTAAACTACTTTGTTAACGTTGGAACTTGGGTTCGATCTAAAAGAAGTGAAGTCATGATCAGATGAGATCACCAATCAAGGTCGGACCATGACTCAAGTTATCCGGAAAGAAAAGGAGCAACTGAGAAAAAGAGGAGAAAAGAAAAACGGATAAATAAAATAAAAATAAACTGAACCGTAAGATTTCAAAACCCTAAATCCTGAGCTTAGGTTAGAGCTCTTCCTCGTCCAGGTCATACACCGCCGAAAAGAGGGAGAAGCCTCTCTATCTCTTGTTCTACGGTAAGTCTCACGGTTCCCCATTGTCTTCTTCGTGCGGCTTCTCTTGATAACTCGATCTGATTTCTTGCACTGAATTTTTTTTCTTTCTGAACGTCGCTTCCCCACCGATTGTGCCAGTTATTCCTTTGCTGCTGCTTGAATTGAACGACAAAAATGGCTTCCAAGTTCTGGACACAGGTTCGTCGCTCTCACCGATCTTTTCTCATTCTACAGTTTTTCCCCGTTGCGTTCCCAATTCGATTCGTGCCGTGTTTGTTGTTGCGTAGGCCGGTGCTTCTGATTCCGATGAGGAAGAGGAGCAGAGCGAGTACGAAGACGAAATCGAAGACGGAGCCGGCGGTGGAGATCCCTCGGCCGCCGACGCGAAGAATAGGTATCTGAGGGCAACTGACACGGATAGTGACGACTCCGACGGCCAGAAGCGTGTGGTTAGGTCGGCCAAGGACAAACGGTTCGACGAAATGGCGTCTACTCTCGAGCAGATAAAAAATGCGATGAAGATTAACGATTGGGTGAGCTTGCTGGAGAGCTTCGACAAAATTAACAAGCAGCTGGAGAAAGTAATGCGGGTGACGGAAGCTGTCAAGGTTCCGAGCCTATACATTAAGGCACTGGTGATGCTGGAGGATTTCCTGAACCAGGCCATGGCTAATAAGGAGGCCAAGAAAAAGATGAGCAGCAGTAATGCGAAGGCGCTGAACTCGATGAAGCAGAAGTTGAAGAAGAACAACAAGCAGTATGAGGATATGATTACCAAGTACAGGGAGAAGCCTGAGAGTGAGGAGGAGGCAGATGAGGAGGACGATGAAGATGACGACGACGATGGGTCTGACACTTTTGCTGAGGATGTTAATGCGATGTCGGACGAGGATGAAGAGGAAGATGATGGGAAGGACGATGAGGAAATTGAGGGTGAGGGTGGTTGGGAGAAGATGTTGAGCAAGAAGGAGAAGCTCATGGATAAGCAGTTCGCCAAAGACCCTAGTGAAATTACTTGGGATGTGGTGAACAAAAAGTTCAAAGAAGTTGTTGCAGCTCGTGGTAGGAAAGGCACCGGGAGATTCGAGCAGGTTGAGCAGTTAAGTTTCTTGACTAAGGTTGCCAAGACCCCTGCCCAGAAACTTGAGATTCTCTTCAGTGTGGTGTCTGCTCAGTTTGATGTAAATCCAGGGCTAAACGGTTACATGCCTATAAATGTGTGGAAAAAATGTGTGCAGAATATGTTGGTTATCCTCGATATTGTTTTCCAGCATAGAAATATAGTTGTGGATGATAAGGTTGAGCCGGAAGAGAATGAAACGCAGAAGGGAGAAGACCATGAGAGTATTATTCGTGTTTGGGGAAACTTGGTCGCCTTCCTTGAGAGAATTGACGTGGAGTTCTTCAAGAGCTTGCAGAGCATTGACCCTCATACCCATGAGTATGTTGATAGGCTGCAAGATGAGCTTATGTTTTTGGTTCTTGCTGAAAACGTTCAGGAATATCTTGAGCGAGCTGGCGACTATAAAGCAGCATCAAAGGTTGCTTTGAGGCGGGAGGAACTGGTTTACTACAAGCCACCGGAAGTTTTTGACGCTATGAGGAAGCTATCTGAACAAAGTGAAGGTGGGGAAACTGGTGATGAAAAGGCAGAAGAGAGTAGAGGACCACCTGCATTTGTTGTTGTTCCTGAGGTGGTGCCTCGGAAGCCCACTTTCCCTGAGAATAGCAGAACAATGATGGACATGTTGGTGTCTCTCATATACAAATATGGTGATGACAGGACAAAAGCTCGAGCGATGCTTTGTGATATCTATCACCATGCTCTCCTGGATGAGTTTTCCAATGCTCGTGACCTGTTGTTGATGAGTCACTTGCAGGATAACATTCAGCATTTGGATATTTCTACTCAGATCCTGTTCAACAGGGCCATGGCACAGCTTGGTTTATGTGCATTTAGGGTTGGGTTAATCACTGAAGCGCATGGTTGCCTTTCTGAACTATATTCTGGTGGAAGGGTAAAGGAGTTGCTCGCCCAAGGTGTGTCTCAAAGTCGATATCACGAGAAGACCCCAGAACAGGTACTTGCGTATTTTGTTTTTCATGTCCCTGAAATGAGAGTCTCGCGTGTAGTCTCTTACTGATTCATTATACATGGTGTGTTCTTGCTGAAGCATGATGTGTTCATAGCAGTATATATCTAGTAATATAAGGAATTGAGTGCAGCTTTGCCTATTGATTGAGATAACCTGAGCAGCTTGACATTTATCAGGAACTCTATTGCTCTTGTGTATGTGGAAACTAAATAGACTGGCTTTGTTGAAGCCCAAGTGTTCTACCTAGTAGTGAAAGAGGATGGAAATGAGACGTTCATTTGCTCATAAAAGTCGAAAACTGGATGAAATGTCTATTGCTTTTCTGTGTGGTAGCTCAGTTATGTGTTAGGGGATTTTCCATGTTGGATCTGTCGGTGAACTGAATGCACCAACTGATGATAAGTCACAAAATATAATTGGGTGGCAAGGCCAGCTTTTCTTGTCTATTCCGATGATTATTGACCAATATATGACAGTATCCTACTCTGGATGAAAAAAGCCAGCTTTGGAATATCTTCTTTTACTTGTTCTTTTACTGCTTTCTAATCATGGTTATAATGTCCTCGACTGATTCTTATTGCTGCGAACCAATTATATACTAACAGGAGAGGTTGGAAAGGAGACGCCAGATGCCATACCACATGCACATCAACCTCGAGCTTCTGGAAGCCGTCCACCTCATCTGCGCCATGCTCCTCGAGGTCCCCAACATGGCAGCCAACACTCACGACTCCAGGCGCCGACTCATCAGCAAGACATTCAGGCGTCTTCTCGAGATCAGCGAGAGGCAGACTTTCACTGGCCCTCCCGAGAATGTTCGCGACCACGTGATGGCCGCAACTCGAGCCCTAACAAAGGGAGACTTCGTCAAATCGATCGAGGTGATCGAGTCCCTCGACATCTGGCGCCTCCTTAAGAACAAAGAGGCCGTCCTCGGAATGCTCAAGTCCAAAATCAAGGAGGAAGCTCTCAGAACCTATCTCCTGACCTACTCCTTGTCCTACAACTCCATGAGCTTGGAGCAGCTGATGACCATGTTCGACTTGTCGAGGGCCCAGACCCACAGCGTGGTAAGCAAGATGATGATCAACGAGGAGCTGTACGCAAGCTGGGACCAGCCGACGGAGTGCGTTGTGTTCCATGACGTCGAGTACTCGAGGCTGCAGAGTCTGTCGTTCCAGCTGACCGAGAAACTGTCGGTGCTCGCGGAGAGCAACGAGAGGGCCATGGAGTCTGGTGGTGGCGGTGGGATGGAGCTACCGATGCGGAGGAGGGACGGGCAGGACTATGCCAATGCTGCTGCTGGTGGGGGTAAATGGCAGGATAACTACAATCAACAGGGGGGAAGACAAGGTGGCGGTGGCCGTTCTGGAGGGTATGGTGGTGGCGGGAGGTCTGGTCAAGGTGGTGGTAGAGGCGGCGGGTACAACAGGGGGAGCCAGGTAAGAGGAGGTGGCGGCTCTCGTTATCAGGATTCGTCGGCGTACACCGGCGGCGGATCGCGGAGGACGGCTAGTTCAGCCGTGAGGGGCTCTCCGATGGATGGTTCTACCCGAATGGTCAGTCTGAATCGCGGAGTTCACGCTTAAACGAATCGAGCCAAAGCCTATCAAATTTTTCCTTCCCCTCAGGTGAGAACTAAAGTTTTGCGATTTGAGTTTTGGGCTACAGCCCTACTGTGTTTCCCGTTGAGGTAAACTTGAAATCAGGTAGCAGCGCAGGAGGCATTTCCCCCTCTTTCCTTGGAGAATAATTTAAATTTGTTAGATTCTTGAACTGTTCTTAGAACTTGTTGTCTCTTTTTGGTTGTAAGGTACACATTTTTTTAATGGACATGGAAGTATGGGAACTGGTAATTTGGTTTTCAGATGGTGGGCTATTGTTTGTGGGTTCGTTTTACTCTTTTTCTGTTGGTTTGTGTGTGTGAATGGTGTTGTGCCAAATTTGGAGCTTACGAGCGATGGTGCTAGGCGCGAGCTAGTATCAAAATCTGGCTATATGCATGTCAATAGGTATAGGGGAAACACACGTCAGTATCCTTTGATAACACTTTTACTAAGGGTTGTTTGGAAGTTGCGAATGTTAAATCGTTGCATTGTAATGAATCACCATAATATAAATGCATGTATTGATACAATGGATGCATTTTAACAATACATTGTTTGGTTATTGAGATTCTATTTGGGTTAATTGCATGGTTGGTCACTGAGATTACAAAAAATGTTCATGTTTGGTCACTGAAAATATTTAAATCCAATCTTGGTCACTCAAATTAGTTAAATGGTTCAAGTTTGGTCACTCTCCGTCCAACTCCGTTAAATATGTCTGATGTGGCAGTCAACCCTAAAAGTTGACTGTTAACTCGGTGACGTGGCAATTAAAAAATAATAAATAAAATAAATTTTAATCTTCTAGCCTATGATAGAGTGGAGTGGTCCTTTCTTCTTGTGGTTTTGGAGAAAATGGGTTTTAGCTCGGTCTGGCGTGGATGGATTCAGGAATGCTTACAATCAGCATCGTTTTCGGTCCTCATGAATGGATCTCTGTCTGGTTTCTTCGCGCCCTCTAGGGGGCTCCGGGCTCCGGCAGGGGGATCCCCTCTCTCCCCTTCTTTTTGTGCTTTGCACGGAGGGCTTTGCTGCCCTTCTTCGTAAAGCCATCGCTGAAAAGAGGTTGGAAGGGGTGAAGGTGGCTCCGCGGGCTCCCCACATTTCTCATTTGTTCTTTGCTGATAATTCTTACTTATTTCTCCGTGGTTCACTCCAGGAGTGTGAGAATCTGATAGAAGTTCTTAATGAGTATGAGGAGCTTAGTGGCCAGAGGGTAAATTTGGAGAAATCGGCTGTTTGCTTCAGTAAGAATGTCTCTTTACCAGATCAGGAGTTCTTGGCGGCAATCCTTGGGGTAGGTGCTGTAGGGGTTCAGGATAAATACCTTGGTCTACCCACTTTGATTGCTCGATCCAAGACGGCCACTTTCGCTACCTGGAGGAGAAGCTCTTAGAACGTTTGCAGGGATGGAAAGGCAGGACTTTATCTTGGGCAGCTAAGGAAACTCTGATTAAATCTGTTGCCTTAGCTCTTCCGCTCCATGTGATGTCCTGCTTCCGCCTGCCGTTATCGCTTTGTCGTCTCCTGGACAAACATGTGGCCAGATTTTGGTGGGGGGTTGAGGCTGGTCGCTCGAAGATTCGGTGGGTCTCCTGGAGAAATTTGTGTAGAAGTAAGCACGAGGGGGGGATGGGTTTTCGCCGGTTCGAACAGTTCAACCAAGCTTTGCTGGCTAAGATAGGATGGCGTATCCTGAATGAACCCCAATCCCTCTTAGCTCAGGTCTATAAAGGGAAATATTTCCCGCAGGGCTCCTTTCTGTCGGCTACGGCGCGGTCCCGCCCTTCATGGGGGTGGCAAAGTATTCTCTTTGGTCGGCAGTTATTGACCAAGGGTTTGCGGTGGCAGATTGGGAATGGTCAGAAGGCTCCGTTGCTCAACTCAAATTGGATCCCGTCTCAGCTGCCTTCTTGTCCTGTGTATAACCCGCGGGTTCTGCCGGATACTGGGAATTTGACGATCTCGGATGTCCTCTGTCCTGGGGAAGGACGGTGGTGTGATGATAAGCTGAGTCAGTGGGTTGACCCTCAGACTTGTCGTGCGATTAAGGCGATGCCCCTGCCACGGCAGAATATTGAGGATCGATTAATATGGCATGCCACTGAGGATGGAATTTTTACTGTTAAATCGGCTTATCATTTCGCGGTTGCTCTGGACCAGCAGAATGGGCGATGGCGGGCGCAGGTTAGTTGGATGGACAAGCGGAGTTGGATCCGGGTTTGGGAAGCGAATATTCCTCCGAAGCTGAAGGTGTTTGTCTGGCAAATCTTGACCAGAATTCTACCTACGACTGAGGCTCTTATAGAGAAGGATGTGGAGGTCCTGCCCCGTTGTCCTGTCTGCTGGGCCTCTAGGGAGACCATGGAACATTTGTTCTTTGATTGTCCGGTGGCTAGGGCTATGTGGTCGCAGGCGGGGTTTGATTCTCTTGGTGATGGATTGCCTCGGCATACTTTTCCCCTCTTCCTCTCAAAATTGTTGGCGATCTTTCATCAACCTTCACAGTTCACGATGGTAATTGCTATCTTGTGGCGAATTTGGAGATCGCGAAATTGGGTGGTCTTTGAAGGAAAGCAATTTACCATTCCGGCATTGTTGAGGCAGTATAACCAGCAAGTAGGGGAGTGGCTAGGCCTGCCTAGGGACCCTCAGGATCCCTCTGCTCATATGCCAGATCTCCCTTCTATGGTAGCTAGCGAGTCAGGGGGACAAGTGTGTCGTTGGGATGGGGCTGTTCGACGAGGGTCACATTCTGCAGGTGGGATGGTACTGCTCAATGATGTAGGTACGCTGCTCTGGGCTGTGGGGGTTCAGTTTCCCCACCTGGATGACCCAATGGTGGTGGAGCTTCTTACGCTCTGGGAAGCGGTCCGCTGGTGTTTAGCGCATAGGTTTAGGGTCATGCGGTTTGAAGGGATGCCAAGGTGGTAATTGACAAGATTTGTTCGGCTGATGTTCGCGACAATCGAGCATGGACTATTTTGGAGGAAATGGTTCAAATTTTAAGGGATAATCCGGGTTTTATTGTACGATTTGTAGGTCGGCGTAACAATAGGGTAGCTCATATGGTTTCTAGACAGGCCCTTTCTTTGTTCCCGACTACGTGTCGTTATTTTGATTTACAGACCTGGCTGGCTTCCAGGGTGTAACTATCGATTTGGTTCTATCAATATATGATATCTTTTGTAAAAAAAAACTCATTTTCACAATAAAGAAAAAAATAAAAAATAAAAAAAAATTATTATGATCGCAAATTGAAAGAGTAGCTTCCTCCTCCACCACCACATCCCTTCCCGCAATCCCCTCCGGAAACATAGAGAAAAAAAAGAGGATCAAGTCTCGTGATTGGTTTGCAATCTTTCCGTGCAGATTTGAGATCGGTGTTGAACGACGACAAAGTGTATGATGAAGCGACCTCGGAGGCGTTCCCTCTCTACAACAAATCTCACTTGATTTGCCTCGAACTTCCCTGCCGGAGTGGCGACGTAAGTTCCCCCCTTCCTCCCTCCCCGAACTTCCAGTGTCTTTGGCCTTGAAAGATTTCCAGATTATCTTGAATTACACTGTTTATGATCTTGATTCAATGTAATTGGAAACGGAGATTGTGTTATCTTTTAACTAACTATGGTTCGGATTGTCAGGTGTTTCGGAAAGAGCGACGCCTCCGGTGGTCCCCGAACCGTAGAGGATTAGATACGGCGGGCAGATCTGAGAACAATACCTAGACCGCCGACCACCGCCGTTGTAACCGCAATTCCCGCACTGTTCGGACCGCCGGCGGCGGCCGTGGATCCAGGAGCATTTGGGGTTTTTGCAGTCGACGATTTTTGAAGACGAGGAGAGCACGGGGATAAAAGAGGGGATTCGGGAGGTGGGTGAAGGGAAGACGCAGTGCTCGCAGAAGTAGTGAGTGGTGCAGGGGAACCAGACGAAGCTGCTGGCGGTGTCGACGACGAAGGAGAGGGTTTGGGGAGGGGTTCCGAACCTGAGGGAAGTGGAGTAGCTGCCATAGCTGTGTGGGGAGAGCTCGGTTTTGGCGGTGAAATCGGAAGCTGGGGAGGTGGAAGTCGCAAATTGCCGGTTTGCAGGGTGTTTGATTTGGTGGGCTCTGGTGAGGGAAGAGTTGACGAGTGAGTTGAGATTCTGGTAAGGGCTTGAGAAGGAAGTGGGTGGGAGGAGATGATGTTGCAGAGGAGGGGAACCCAGAAGCCATTTTTTATCATCTTTTTTTCTCTATGTTTCCGGAGGGGATTGCGGGAAGGGATGTGGTGGCGGAGGAGGAAGCTACTCTTTCAATTTGTGATTATAATAATTTTTTATTATTTTTTTACTTTATTGTGAAAATGAGTTGGAAATGGTAGAAGATTAAAATTTATTTTATTTATTATTTTTTAATTGCCACGTCACCGAGTTAACGGTCAACTTTGAGGGTTGACTGTCACATCAGACATATTTAACGGAGTTGGACGGAGAGTGACCAAACTTGAACCATTTAACTAATTTGAGTGACCAAGATTGGATTTAAATATTTTCAGTGACCAAACATGAACGTTTTTTGTAATCTCAATGACCAACCATGCAATTAACCCGATTCTATTTTATGCATTGATTTACATAAAGTTACTTTTATGGAAAAATGTCACATTTACGGTTTACCCTCGACTTTTAGAATATGACAAAAACTATTGGGGATATAAATGGAAAGAAAAAGTTGACACAAATCTAAAACCAATAATTACAACAATCTCAACTTTTAGTTGAGATTGTATAATGCATCATTTTTTGTGATTGTTGGTGGGACCTACCTAAAACAATGCATGCATTGTTTAACACTTTGGCACTTCCAAACATTGTATTGTGTATAATACATGTATTCAACAAACACAATTCTGACAATCACAACTTTCAAACGATCCCTAAGTAATTTTTGTTCAAGACTTTGATGCTCTATTGAGAGTAGCGAGGAGGAGTGAGAATCGAAACTCTGTTGGAGCGTACGAGTTAGGATGAGTTCTTGAGAAATGAGTGATTGCAAGTTCGAATTAAGCAGGTATTAGAGAGGTTGAGTTCTTGAAAGATGAATGACCATAATCTTGAAGTGCGTAAATACATTTTATTTAAAATTGAATGTTTTCGATCGAATACATGAAATACAAGCTCTTTCGTCATCATTCACGTTTATTTCCTAATGGGAAATCTAGTTGAATTAGGGTCATTCACGTTTATTTCCTAATGGGAAACCTAGCTGAACTTGGGGCCAAAGCCACTTTAATTAAACTTTTCCTAATAAAGTTGGTTTCGATGGAAGGATGAATGGATCACATTGACATTCCTAATCATATCCAAGATGGCAGCTTCTATCTAATATCCCAGTCCACTAAAATCGTTAGATCCTTCGTGATATGGTTAGGACTTAGGACATTTTTGTACATGTTAAATGTTAATCTCAGATTAAGGCCGACTCCAATGCAACCCCTATAAATAGGGGAGTCGCCATTTATGACGTTTTTGCGAGCTCCAATGCGGAGCCAAAATCGGCGAAGGATGCCATTTATGAGGAAGGTCGACAATTGGGTCGCCAGTTTTGGGGGAGGGAATGCCGAACTCGGCATTTATGGGGAGTGGGAGCAGCGCTAGCAGTTGTTCCGCCTGTTGTTGTTGATGATTTTTTTTGTTTGATTGATAATTATGGGAAATTAATTAAGAGAAAGAAGGAAGAGATATCTAATTAATTAAGGTAATTTGAATTAATGTTTTGTATTTTTTTAGGCTTCTTTGATCTGTATTTAATTTTCAATTAATATTTTGTTTAATTTTTTTTATTTGATAAGATGACTTAAACTAAATTCATCCTATTTAAATTTTATGTTTATCATACTGAAGTTGTATGTAAACAAAAACTAGACCGATGTCAAATGAAAAATATATTATTGGAATGAAAATGCATTCTTGAATTACAAAACAAATTGATCTCAACTACTACTTTCATTGAATTACAAAGCATCCCAATATCGATACCAAGCAACAAACATGACTAATTATTTCCATGCAAGTTCCAAATATGCTCGACTAACCCCTGACGAATAGGGATGGCAATTTCGACCTGACCTGATTTACCCGACCTGTTTGACCTGTTTTGGGGCGGGTCAAACCCGCCCCGTAGGCTGGGCGGGGTGGGCATGGGTACCTCTCATCGACCCGACCTGCCCTGGCCCGCCAAATTACTTAAGATTTTCCTCTTATTACATTATATTTTAGCTATAATAAAGTTGTAAAAACAAGTGAAAATCTCAATTTCTTCAATAATTTAACTACCTTTTATCATATTATGGTTTCTTTCTTTGTCTTTCAATGAAAAGAACGAATATTTCTAATGTTTTTCACATAAATTACATACCCAATGGGTCAACCGGACCCGACTCGCGCCCCGTGATAAATTACCCGACCTGCCATGGGGCGGGTATGGGTATCGAGATACCCGCCCCGGACCTGCTCCATTGCCATTCCTACTGACGAAGCCCATGATGTGTTGGTGCAACACGAAGCCTATTATTCCTAGCCAAGTATTCAGTTAGAGTTGAAATATCTCTGTCGACATTATTTGGTTGTTGGTCGTGGACCTCATAATCAAAACTATCTTCCATCTCATCGTCAAAATCAACCTGCTCATCCTCGATTATCATGTTGTGCAATATAATGAATGCCAACATTATATCATTAACTTTGGCAATATCCCAAGATCTCGAAATTTGAAAAAATTCTATCGAAAAATTTGTATTTAAAAATGATGACGAAATATAAAAAATTAATATGAACAAATTATATTAAGAAGATAATAAATACATTTTTAAATAAACAAAAACTAGAAAAAGGAAGATCTTCAAATTTAAGGATAGCAGCATTGGAACCAAATTGAAGAAAACAGAGACCTCAAATTTGGATTTGGGAAGGAAGGTCCCCAAATTTGATGAGGCAAATAAGGTTAGGGATTCAAACAATGAAAGCCCAATGAAATTTCCAGAAAGTTGGGCTGCAAAAGCCCTCTAGGAAATGAACACCGAAAGCACAAATGATTGAGAATGAAAATTGAAAGAAAAGTAAAAAAAAAAAAAAAGACCAAACCCCAACCCCGAAACTCGTTTCTTCTCTTTCTATCCGTATTCCTTCCGTCTTCTTCTTCCTCCTTCCTTCTTCTTTCTTCCATTTCCAACTCCTTTCTTCCCTCTCTGCGATTCAGTCGCGCGCAGACGCAGCTTGTCCTCCTCTTCTGCAAAAATCTCCAGAACCCTAGGAGCTCCCGACAATCCCTTTCTCTCCCTTACTGGAATGAAATTCCAACTTCTCGCTCCGTCTCTTCCCAGATTTCCGTGAGGGGGACTTAGGGTTTCTTCACAGTTGCGCAAGGTTTTCGAATACATTAGTCCGCGCCTTCAGATTGAAAAATTCGCCCGCTGCCTCGTTGGATCTGCGCCATGGACTCGCGAGATTCGGCATCTCAATCCTCCTCCTCCCCTGCGGCGGCCGCACCGGCGACCGGCACTTCCACGTCGTCCAACGGGGAGGACGACGCAGTTCTCTCCTTGACCGCTGCTCTCGCTAAGGACGCCGCATTGCACTTCACGTCCCGCCGCTTCTCCGACTGCCTCGATGTTTTGCATCAGCTCAAGCTGAAGAAAGAAGGCGATCCTAAAGTGATTCTTCTGACCTCCCTGCTCGTGCTCTTCATTGTTACTTCTCTGGCTTAGTCTTTGACAGTTGAGCTCAGTTAGTTAGTTGCTAGTGGTTTCGTTTTTTCCACTTGGACTTGTTGGTCGATTCCCTGATTTTTTTTAGTAATATGGGCTGGGATTAGTGATAAGAAGCTGGTGGTATTTGAAAATTTCTGGTTAGGGAATAGTCTTACTGTGGAATGTAGATGTGAAAGTGGGTTAGGATGTTTATATGGGGTTGACAGGTATTTACTTGGAATATGAATTTATGTATGTCGAACTTGTTTAGCCGTCTTCCCCTCTTTGATTTTAGTATGCAAGCTAGTGAAGTTCTTAGGAGAAGAGAATCATCTAGATCGGCATCTGGTTGCTATTATGGACTTAATACACAGGTATAATTGGTAGTGATAATGGAGATTATGATAAATTGTATAGACTTGAGGTTTAACAAGTGCTGTCAATTAGTTTGAATTAATGGCCTATGGTATTTTGTCCAGTGGACAATTTAGGGATGGATGGGTTTGTGGCTGTGGTCATTTTGTTAAGTTTGTTCACTGTTCATCTCCTTTAATTAAAGTTTGGCTTTTTGAATCCGTTCACATCTCTGCTAGGTACTTCACAATATTGCTATAGCAGAATATTTTCGAGATGGTTGTTCGAATCCAAAGAAGTTGCTTGATGTGCTCAACTCCGTCAAGGTACGACTTGTTTTCTTTCCTCTTTCTTTTGAAGCTCAAGGTTTTACAAACTATCACTAGGTTTCTACATTGTTTGGTTGCTTATCATGCATGCTTCTATTTGACCAGACCCTTAAACTGAGTGTTTTATGCTGTGAAGCAGTGAGTTCCTTAATTATTTTTCAACAAGTGGGTATTTTATCATTGATGAATCTGTGATGGTTCCAGTGTATCCTTGCACCAGCAGGATATGTCACTTTGTGTGACTACTCAGAGTTGCCAGTTTACCTGGATTGATTTGGTGCTGCCAAATTTTTTGTGGATTTTTTGTTATGACTTTGATTCTTTGGGTGGTAGTTGATATATCCATTTTTCATGCTGGTTTTTATGAGATCAGAAGAAAAGCGAGGACCTTGCAAATGCTTCGGGAGAAGCTGTGGAAGTTAGTAGCAACAAAGTTGCACCTGGTTCTAAAGGAAGTGGTACGATGACACATCAGACGTCTGGTGGAAATAGTGGAACACTTGTTTACATGGATGAATTTGACCCAGCTGTGGCAACTCTAAACATTGTGGGTTCTGTGATGTCTCCCAGTTGATTTTATGTAACCAATTTACTGTGGAATAGGAAATAACATTTCCCTTTTGCTTTTGGGAATTGTAGGCAATTATCTGGTATCATCTTCATGAGTATACGAAAGCCCTATCAGTGTTAGAGCCTCTGTATCACAATATTGAGCCAATAGACGAGGTACTTAACTGTTAATGTCGAATTGTTCATTTGGGTTAAACTTATATTTCCTGATCCTGATCTTTATGTGCAGACGACAGCTCTTCATGTTTGCTTGTTATTGCTGGATGTCGCACTTGCTTGTCAAGATGCATCCAAATCTGCTGTAAGTTCAATTGTCTCTGGACATGACACTTCAGTTTCTATGCTGCATATTCCCTCTATCAGTAGTTTATTTCAGTCAGAACCAGCTTATGTATTGTAAGCTGAGACATGCTGTTTCATTTTCAATTCAAATAGCAACCCTTTTTTTTGTGATTAAACTTTCAGATAGGAACTTTACTGCCTTCTAGGATGCCTTCTCCTTATTTGTCGCTTAGGTTCGCCTTATTGAACATCTTGTAGGGAAATAGTGAATTATATTAATAATTTTGTTGCTCTGCATTTTTCAATGGTGTGGTGTATGTAGCAAAATTTCATGCTGGGTCTTCCTTGAGTTGGAAACTTTCCCTTGACCATGACTTATAGTTGTGCTTTTGGTTACTGTTGTGCTAGATTAATATATAGCGGTTAGTGCTACGAAATGATTTTATTTCATCAACTTTCACTTCCTGTACATCACTTTTATTGTTACATTGTGTATTTACCTCCTATTGATTGGCTCCATTTAGAACATAATTTTTCGTTCATTGGGCATTGTTTGCATGTTACTCTCCATGAATCTTGACTTTTGTTCCAGTTTCATATGTCTTTTAAGATCTCTCGTTCAGTTGAAAAATGTGCACAGTAATATTATATTCTTTCTAATATTCTTCAGGATGTGCTACTTTACTTAGAGAAAGTGTTCGGTGTCAATACTGTGAATCATGGTGATAACGGTAATGCACAACTGCAACACTCAACGAATCTAGTTGCAAAATCTTCCTCTATTCCAACCAGTTCATCAGCAGTCGATGCATCTAATTCTGATTTAGGGGCTAGCGGGAATTCCTTAGAAAGTTCGTTATCAAGGTCACTATCATTATCAGAGGAGTCGCTGGAGTATGAATCTATGTTTTCTCTCGACATAAGTTCTCAGGGCTTGGGGAAGCCACCAGGCTTTTCATCGTCTACTGATCTTTCAAGGACCTCAGGGGATAGGTCTATGTCTACCATCGATTTGAAGCTTAAGTTGCAACTGTACAAGGTTCAGTTTCTTCTTCTGACCAGGAACTTGAAACATGCTAAGCGTGAAGTGAAGCTGGCTATGAACATTGCACGAGGGAGAGACTCATCAACAGCCTTACTCTTGAAGTCTCAGCTTGAATATGCCCGTGGCAACCACCGAAAAGCTATCAAGCTTTTGATGGCATCGAGTAATAGAACAGAAATGGGAATTTCAAACATGTTCAACAACTTAGGTTGCATTTACTATCAGCTTGGGAAATACCACACCTCATCAGTCTTCTTCTCAAAAGCACTGAGCAGCTGTTCATCTCTTCGGAAGGACAAGCCTCTAAAGCTGTTAACTCTGTCACAGGATAAGTCTCTCCCCATATTGTACAATTGTGGCGTGCAGCACTTGGCATGTGGGAAACCTTTCCTGGCTGCTCGGTGTTTTCAGAAGGCGAGTTTAATATTCTACAACAGGCCTCTTCTTTGGCTCCGTCTTGCTGAATGCTGTATCATGGCTTTAGAAAAGGGAGTAATTAGAGGTTGCAGTGGTGCCTCTTCTGGCAAATCAGACATCATGGTACATGTTGTGGGTAAGGGCAAATGGAGGTATCTTGCTGTGGACGATGGGAAAACAAGAAATGAATTTGCTGAAAAAGAGGTTCTGTCAATGGGCGATGGTCAACCTAAGCTTTCGATGTCCTTTGCTCGGCAGTGCCTATTCAATGCTTTGCATTTGTTAGACTACTCAGAACTAAACCATCTGAAGTATGGGTTACCGTCATCTTTCTCCTTGGAGGAAAATGAATCCGACGGCACTCTTAAGAGCCCAAATCACAAGAACTTGACAGGTATTGATGCCAAAGCCTCGGCTGGTAACATGGATCTGATTAATGCAAATGGTGATGCGAAAGAGCAAAAAGGAGGAACACCAAGCCAGGAGGTTATGCAGAACTCGATATCTTACTACGAAGTTGTCCATCGGAGAGAAAACCAGATGATTAAGCAAGCTCTTCTTGCAAACCTTGCATATGTTGAGCTGGAACTTGAAAACCCGACCAAGGCTTTGTTGAATGCAATGTCTCTCTTGGAACTACCGGAGTGTTCGAAGATTTTCGTCTTTCTTGGACACTTGTATGCAGCAGAATCACTCTGCTTACTGAACAGGCCAAAAGAAGCAGCCGAGCATTTGTCGATTTATCTCTCTGGTGGAAAGGATGTTGAGTTGCCCTTCAAGCAAGAGGATTTTGAGCAGTTGCTAGTGGAGAAAAGTTTGGATTCCGAGGAGTCAAATGGAGCAGCAGCACAGAACAAGTCTTCTAACTCTGTAGAGGAATCACAAAGCATTGCATTCCTGAAGCCAGACGAGGCACGTGGAACCCTCTATGCAAATTTCGCCGCCATGTACGCCATGCAAGGAGAGCTCGAACGAGCCTACCATTTCGTGACACAAGCATTGACCCTCGTCCCAGGGAACCCGGAAGCCACGTTGACGGCAGTGTACCTGGACCTGTTGCTCGGTAAGTCTGAATCGGCCGTTACCAGGTTAAAGCAATGCAGCCGGGTAAGGTTCGTTTCAGGCAATGTAGTATTGAATAAATCTTGATATTTGGTGGGTCGGTTCATTGGGTTTGTATCAGTTTGAGTCCAGCCGGGATGGGTTCGTTTCACTCAGCATTCTTGTCTCCCGGTCCGCTCCGTTCAGTGGTTAGCTTAGCAAAGGTAGATCAGCAAATTCCTGGTGTAGGGTTTTGTAACATATATATAGCTGACTTCAGAGAATAAAATTTTGGGTTTTGGTTATTTTTCGTCGGTTTTGGTTCCCAAATTTAGGAGTCGGGGGTATGGGAGGTGGGTTTGAATTGATCGGTGCTGGCCTGAGGATTGATTGTTTGGGGGGTATGAACAGGCGAGAAGAAGAGCCAGCACCATTTGAAGATTTGTAATGTTATGCTTCTTGTTGAGATTGCCAGGAAGTATTCAGCAGGAGGAAGAGTGTGTGTGAGGGAGATGGAGGGATGGAGAGAGACAGAAGGAAAATGGACTATTCAACAGTTTTCCTTCACATCTCAAAACTGTTATTTCAATGTGTATTTGAGGTCCATTTTTGGGGTATTCATCAGTTACTCCCTCCTCTTCCATCTTCTACTCCTTGCTCTGCTTGCCTCTCATGCAGGTCTGAATTGCACAGGCAAATTTTGTAGTGTTTTGTTGCTTATTACTTATTACTTGGTTTCTATATTGTGCTCTTTCGGAGTGGATTTTGCTACTTACTATGCCGATGATGGACGCGTTGATGGTCGTTGGATCGATTGTACAGTCCCTCGATTTCAGCCGTTAGATGTCTGAGGCAGTATTGGCATCGCGTGCTATAGATGCATGGAAACTGGAAAGCATTGAACTGTGGGAATTCTAGATATGCTAACTGTCACAGCTAAACGCGTATTAGTAATGATGATCCAATATTCAACCGAGAGACATCAGACGACATGCTATTTTTATCGGGAAATCATTTTTTCTTATTCTTAAAAAGCGCAAGTCAGTTCATGGAGAATGTATTTACTCAGTCGAGCTTGGCAAGCGACCCAATCCGCGAGTGAATTCAGACGCCGAAGGAACGAACTCTATCTCGATCCTTGGAGCAGAATGAATGACCGTTAAGATAGTTACATGCCCATGCAAGTAACTACTGCTTAACATGAAGTTTGATTCATATACTAGTGTGCTTAACATGAAGTAGCTGATCGATCCCTATAGATTAGCAATCTAACCGACCCCTAGGTTTCCGACTTTGAGTTTGAACAACATGGGAGAAAAATAAGGAAGGCAAATTCAGAGAACACACGATACCCATATCCATTGAGCCACCATAAAAAAAAAACCCAGAACCAACAAGAGTTAAATTAAATGATTAAATAAAACCAACAAAACGGAATCATAAGCATATTGTCTGGTAAACATGGACACGGACAGACAGCCAAGAAAGAAATTAAAGCCGAGCAATAAGAGAAGCAAAATTAAACGTCCAAACAAAACTGCAATTGCATCGATGGCGACCTCTCAAGTCTCTTATCCATCAATGGCCACTCCCTCCACCGGAACCACCGTCGCCACCGTGGTTTGAAGAACCTGCAGCTCCAGTACTCCCGCTGCCAACAACAACCTCGCTCACGGCGGCGACTTCCCGATCAGCCTGCTCCTCCTGGTGAGGCTGCTCATCATCAACAACAGGTGGCGCCAAAACCAGCGGAGGCGGAGGCGAGGAAGGAGGCGAAGGCGAATCAGGGATAGCCATAATCGAGAAACTCCTTGGATTTGCTCGCGGATTTGGATTATGCCCATGATTCTCCATGATGACAGACTACTTTACGATTAACCTGCACCCAACGAGACGGCCGCTTATACCCACGATTACTTTAACAAAGTAAAAGCAAATTGTACGTATCTTAGGGTTAGGGTTTCCGAACATGGATAGAGCCAAGAAAGAAAGAGGAGCAACGTTTTACCTTTTGCTCCTGACGGGATTTCACGCACCGGTGATCACGAGAGATTTAGCGAAAGAACTAGAAAACACGATAAAAGAGTTACTTTTCTCTACTAACTACTAATACTTTGTTGATCGACTGAATATAACGAAGAGCAAAAGGTACATATTTATAGGACTAATCCTATAAATCCTTCCCTCATAAGACAAGGAAACCCAAACCTAAAACAACAAGTAAACGAATACTTCCTGAACAAGATACGTAAATAATAATTATAGACCCAAACTAATACGGATAACCCGAATAATAACAGAATATCCCAATAAATAAAAATAATAAAACAACAACAACAATAATAATAATAATAATAATAATAATAATAATAATAGGCTTGGCCCAAGATGCTATCACGCACAAGCTCCCTTCGGAAAAATTGAAGAAGCTCGAGAGAGGATTGGCCCGCGGCGAACAGCAAATCGGCTGCAGGAATGATGATTTCGATTTCTGAAGATTAGGGTCGTTTGGAGAATATGAGTTTAAATCTACATATTGTCAACAATCTAATGATTCTAACTCTCCAAATTGTTGAAAACAGATTTTAAAATATTTATTGTTTGGTAACTGTGATTGTTTACATTCAATTAAAATAAAAAATTTAATTTTATATTAAATAAAATGTTTATCCTTAATAAAAAAATTTGAGTGGTTCAATAAATATTAAAAATTATGTTGATAAATATATTTCATGTGATAAATAAATAAAAGTAAGAGAAAAACTAGGAGAAAAAAATCTCACGAATCAAGATATAGAATCTCTCTGATTATGAGAGATTTGATATCCGCAGATTTTAGAGATTTGAAATCTCTAAAGCTAGAATCCACAGTACAAAAAACAAAAAAAAAAACATAAATTTCTACAAAATCTACGAATTCAGTAAATCCACGTCCTGAATCCTTTCTCCAAATGACCCCTAAGTAGATAGAGAATCCCCTATATATACTACTAACAAGTAACAATTACCTTTCCTTCCTTCACATGTAGGGGTGATAAATGGTTAGTCGGTTATCGGTTTTAACCGATAACCGAACCGATAAAGTCGGTTAGTGGTTAACCGATAACCGCTACTTCCTTATTGGTTTCGGTTTCGGTTAGTAGTATTTTGGTTAGTGTTTAACCGCTAACCGAGTCGGTTAGTGGTTAACCGATAAGAAAACCGATAACCGCCTACTAGTGTGACTACATGGTTTTTTACTTTGGCTAAGGGAAAAAGTTGTAAGATTCAAAACCAATCGAAGTCGCAATTCCAAACATCCCAATTCTCACCTATTGCAAACAACCCTTCATCAAGAGTCTCGAATGTTTTTAAGAGTTAGAACTCGAAAGTCACCCCTCTCTAACTCCCCTTTGCACTCGATAGAGTGAACCTTAGGTTGATGACTATGGGCTAGATGAAGATCTTGGAGTAAATGATGACTATGGGCTAGATGAATTGGAGCGAGATCATCGGATCATTTAGGTTGATGATTTGGAGATAATGAACTTGTTATTTGTGTCTAGTTGTGATTGTGACTTGTGGTTGAATTGTGGGCATGTAGACTTTATGTTGTGGAGTTGTGGTTGAATTGTGTGGTTGCTTTAGGCTTTATGTTCAATTGATTTAGATGACTTTATGGTGTGTGATTATAGAGGGTGAAACAAAACCAGATCACTCAAAATTGAGGGTGAATCATTAAAAAAGGTGGTTGAAATTCTGTTTTGGGTGTCGGTTTCTGAACGAAAATCGAGAAAGTGAACCAGAACCTGTCGTTTCAGTTAACCGCAATGGAAAACCGAAACCGATGTTTTCGGTTTTCGGTTAACCGAAGTCTCTATCGGTTTCGGTTAGCGATCTTGAGACAATTTTGATTGCGGTTAACCGATATTTCGATGCGGTTAAACCGAAACCGCACCGACTAACACCCCTATTCACATGGACGGAAAAAAGCTTTTCTTTTACAATGAGAAAAAAGGTTGCCACTTGGCTTACCTGCTGGATACGTTCTGAATTTTTCTCTTCTGTTCTGTTTTTTTACTTCGAATTTTTCAGTTCTTTTACACTTCCTTCCTACGTTCTTCCTTTTTTTAATTTAATTTTCTTTCGAGCTTGCTAATTGCTATGCCTCTTTCTAAAAGTTAATTAACATCATTGTGAAAAATAGACTACATACAGTTTATTCGCTAAATCTTTCCCGGATTCTATATATCAATCAATTTTATAGAAATACAAATGGCGTTGAGAGGGATTGTAGATGTTGATGGTTGTCACTTGTCACAGGTAGTGATGGCAATTTCAACCCACCCCGCGGGTATTACCCGACCTGACCCGCGATGGGGCGGGTATTACCCGACCCGCAGTAGCGTGGGACGGGGCATGGGTATCTACTTTCGACCCACCTTGCCCCGCCCCTCCCCGTTCTAGACTCATTTTATCTCAATTTCTTACAATATCTATACATATTTCTCCTATTTTGACTTTTCTTCAACTAGTTAGAGTCGATCTTTCAACTTGTTAGGCTCAATTATCCATTCTATTATCAATATTTTTCATTCTTAAAGTGTTTTCCCCTACGTTTTATTGTAAAAAGTAAAATTTACTTGTATTTTTTTGAACAACATGTAAGAGTGGGTCGACCCGCCCCGCCCCGTACCCGCGCGGGTTTTACCCGCCCCGACCCGTAGTAGCGTGGGGCGGGGCATGGGAATTTAGGTACCCGCCCCACCCCGCCCCATTGCCATCACTAGTCACAGGGCAATATGGTGATGATTTTCTTTTTCTTTTATTTTTTAACTGACATGTTAGACCGCCACATATCTTCAGAAACATCATTGTCCTTTTCATAACCTCTCTTTTTATCCATTCCAATTACTTCTACCGCCTGAAACAAAATGGACAAATTAAGCCAAGTTCAATGAAAACCCAGAACATCAGAAACCTAATAGAACCCTGCATTTATGATCTTTTTACCGTTTGGACTCATTTGTTAGTTTATGATTGTTTAATAATTTGATTAGGCATTTGGAGATAAATTGTGGGATTAATAAGTTGGGGTAACAGTAACAAATTGTGGGATTACTATATAAATCATTTATTATGTGGGTATGAAAGTTAAGCAAATATTAAACCCTAATTATTTCCTAATCTCTCTCCTTTTCTCCGCTCCCTGCCGAACTCCCTCTTCCTCTCTACTGCTGCTACCGCTGCAGCCTCTCTTCTCCCTTCCCCAGCCAATTATCACTTCTTCCCTTCTATTCCATTTCCACGGGTTAAAGAAGTAGATCTTCACCTTGGTGATTGACTCATTTACCCCAAATCCCTAGCAATAGATAGAACCCGAAATCCGGGTTTCTATCATCTAGTATCAGAGCCCGATTACGATGATTGAGTTTTTCACTACTCTAAACCGAGGGCGGACAACGAAGAATAATGGCCATCACCAAATCGCAAACCGTGGCGGAGCAGGTTGTCGAAAATACAGCAACGGAGAAGGGAACGACCAAGACTGACACCGAGACAAAGTCGGCGGCGACCCTAGGGAAGGAGACTTCGAGCGGGTGGGCTGAGATGCTGGTACCTCGTGACGGGATTGGGCTGCTACCGACCCCGATGGCTGAAGATATCATGGCCATACGTGGAAAGGAAAAAGTTCTGGGCTACGACAACGTGTTTTAGTACCCATGTTTCGGGCCGCTAGGCCCGAAGGCCCATGACGAAGGATTGAGACGTGCGGGAGAGCCGAATGGGCTTGGATGGCTGGGAATGGGCTCGAGCCTAAAAGGTGATCAGTAGGGATGACAATGGGTAGGGTCGGGTGCGGGTTTACCCTATATCAACTCCTAACCCGCCGGGTAGAGCTTTCTAAAATACCCGACCAAATAACCACCGGGTATGAAAATTATATAACCATACCCTACCCACCGGGTAACCACGGGTATTTGGGTAATCATGGTTACGATTTCTAAACTATGAACTTATACACATATATGCACATACATACTTTTGTCCATTAAAAATTCTCAATACTTCTTCATAAAAAAAAATTCTCAATACTTGTAACGGTTCGAGCTTCAACAATCCACACAAATAAAAATAGCAAACATAGCAAACACATATAATTGTTCTTGCTTCTACAATCCACACAAACATAATAATCGTCTGCATTAGGAGACACAGGAGGACAACCTCGTAGGTTCGACAACACCAGGACGATGATGGGTATGGGTGGTGCCCAGAGAGATATTCACGGGTTTTTCACGGATACCACGGCAGGTCCTTCATGTTGAGTCAAAAGCTTGACTTAGCAATTCTACTAGCATAAGATAACTTGCTTTGAATATGTGTTATTATGGTGAACTAACAATTCTAGTAGAAAAATATCACAATCAAGGATATGAAAGGATTTGTTAGGAAAAGGAAAGAATTCAAAATGATTGCTTGCCCTCCAAGAAGTTACCATATCAATCGAAGAGTGTATCAAATCAAGGAGATACTTGCCACATAAAGGATTACAATGAAAGGAAATGAAGTCTTGCATTCACTATAAATAGGGGAGTCATTTATAGACTAGAGTACCTTTTGCAAAGCTCTCTTCTCCCTTGTAATAGCGAAATAGTGAGATCATATTTCGTGGTGTGAGTAGCTCGATATCTTGGAAGTTGAGATAGTCAAGCTAGGTAGGGTTTTAGGGTAGAAAGTGTATTTGTAATTGGGGTTAGTGCAAGAGCAAGAGTGAATTCTTGTTTGGAAGTTGCACTAGGTGGTTTACTCTTCAATCAAGCTAAACTAAGAGTGTTGGCTTGATTGAGTGAGTGAGTAGCTTAGAATTGGGA